AAAGACGCTGATTGCCCGAGCAAAATCGCATTCAAACGAGGGAAAAGATTTAAAGCAGCACCTCCTTACAGGATTCGACCATCGGTAAGTCTTGTCTTTACCACCAGCATTGGTTTAAGTGAAACATTGATCTTTTAGGGTTCTTCTAGTCACAACTAGTCCATCTTGTTTTGCAGTCCCAGAGACTTGAGTTCAGGACATAAACCCCTGAGTCCAGCATTGAACCACATTTAGAAAGAAGTCACGACATCAAGCTGGACATTGCCCGTGATACTTTTCTTTTTCACACTGACTCTTTATCATGGTCTATATGTCATCAATTTAACAATTGAAAAACTTTTTTTTACCACAAAGCACAAGTGCTGCTATAGTTGTCAAAGTAACAAATACTACAAAATACAAAATATATAATTTATTAAACCAATGTAGACATATTTTTTTTTCTTTTATTTGCATTAAAATATGTTCCAACTATTACAATGATAAATTCTTATTTTTCATCGTCAAAATCGTATACATTCTATTCTAAAATAAGACATCGATCCACTAATAATATGTTTCTGTTTCTTTGTCTACCAGGAAATAGAAATTATGAAAGAAATTATGAACAATGGACCGGTCCAAGGTAAAGTTCACCATACTACATACGTATGCTAGTGTCTGCAGGCTTGTGACTAGAGAGCACTTTGTACATTCTCATAGTCTGTTGTCATAAATAAAAAGTGCATTATTCTTTAGTTTCCTTTATTTAATTTCTGTATGGAGTTTATGTGCTGAAAAGTCATTGCTAGTCATTTACACATTCAGTTGTTTCTTTTGTATCATTAACTATCTAATTTACACATTCAGCTGTTTCATTTGTATCATTAACCATCTTATTTACACATTCAGCTGTTTCTTTTATATCATTAACTATCTAATTTACACATTCAGCTGTTTCATTTGTATCATTAACTATCTAATTTACACATTCAGCTGTTTCTTTAATATCATTAACCATCTAATTTACACATTCAGCTGTTTCTTTTATATCATTAACCATCTAATTTACACATTCAGCTGTTTCTTTTATATCATTAACCATCTAATTTACACATTCAGCTGTTTCATTTGTATCATTAACCATCAAATTTACACATTCAGCTGTTTCATTTATCATTAACCATCAAATTTACATATTCAGCTGTTTCTTTTATATAATTAACTATCTAATTTACACATTCAGCTTTTTCTACAGTGTGGTGAAATTGTTATTATTTGTTTATGTTTGTGTAATGTCGTGAGAATGTGTTCACAACATTGATTTAGTGTGCTACTGTCCAGGTCTCTTTCCTCAGTTCATGTGTCGTTCTAGTTTAATAAAGCCTTGTTTTAGGTTACTCTTCAGTGTTTCTATATTTCTTATTACATATTGTATCATTAAGCATCTAATTTACACATTCAGCTGTTTCCTTTGTACATTCGCAGCTATTCTTCAAGTCCGTGAAGACTTCTTCATGTATCGCAGTGGTGTCTACAAATACAGCAATTTGATTCGCAAACGCAGAGAGCCCGAGAGCCACCTCAAGTCTGGTTATCACTCTGTCAGAATTATTGGGTACGGTGTAGCAGATTTACATGTATAAGAAACTAGTCGACCGGCGGTGTAGCAGATTTATAAGAAACTAGTCGACCGGCGGTGTAGCAGATTTATAAGCACTACATGTTCTTTTCCATCAGACATAATGATGGTTTGGATAGAAATAGTTTTACCATTCTTGTGATAACTGTAGAACACATTATCACTGAACTCTCGAATAAATAGGTCAATAAAGGAAATAGCCTTTGCATACAAAATGTTCTAAAAAAGTAAAGAAAGTTCCCCTTTTAGACCTTGTGATCTAGAGGGCAGATGATGTTAAGATCATCCGTTTCTTTGGCCACGGGTTAACGAGCATGGCGTCATGTGGCCAGCACAATGACCAACTGCCTTTACTTTCTCCAACTTAAGTTAGGTACCTAAAAGAGTTAGATGAACTCAGTGGCAAGCTTAAAAAGCTGAAATTTAAAACCCCAGTCTATACCGAGTTTCAAACCCAAGACCCCAGGTCCAGAAGCAAAGCGCTTAACCACTCAGCTACCGCGCCCCCTATGTTCTAAAAGCCTATCATAAAAAGTCAAAGGTTAAAAACAATATGTAATATTACTCCACTATTGAATAGATCAATCTTAATTCTCATTCATCTCTTTGTATGTAGGTGGGGTCTAGAACGAACACCAAGTGGGAAGGATGTCAAATACTGGGTAAGTACATGAGTGACTAATCAGTCACATAGTTTTAACATACTGTTTTTAGATATTGTTTTTCAACTACCCAGTGCATATTATTGTATTTGACTATGTTTAGAGCGAAACAAGAAAGTAAATTTGTCCCAAATATACCACTTTTGTTGATTTAGCTATTGGGCAGAATGTGGCATGACATTGATAGGTGGCTTCCAAGAATCTCAGAAAAGGGTCCCTTTAAAAATTGATTGTTGTTTTTAAGCTAATACCTTAAATGTCACCGTGTGATTTATTTGATAAACATTCCTACACTTTTATTATTACAAAGATTATAACAACTCTGTCTGTTTGTCTGTCTGTCTGGCAAAAGTTTGAACACGTTCTTTCTCCCACACCTATTCTAAGATCAAGCTGAAATTTTGCACAATTAATATTATAGACAATTCATGAATCAATTAAAAAAACTATTAATCTATTAATCTAATAATTACTGGATATCAATTATTTTGTTTGATACAAACAAGGGAAATTTATCCTTCAGTATTCACTGATATGGTTAAATATGTCCCATTCTCGGATCAAGATAAAACTTAAAAACAATTATTTATTGTATCTAACAAAACATGAATCAATTAAAAAATTAACCAATTAGTCAATTAATTATTAGTAATACATTTTTTTATTGAAAAAGGGAAATAACGTCTATATTCTTTTAAGATATAGTTGTAACTGCAGAGTTCTTCCCCTTATATAAGCTTTGTATTTTAAAAAAAATTATACTTTGCTTGTTAATTTACTACATTTATTTTATGCAGTGAACGTCTGTCCTAGTCAATAACTCAATGTGTACTTTATGTCATCGACATGTCTGATACGTTGCTACAAGATACGGGGAGCTACAGAGAACGTGAACACACTTAAACTGATCTGATCGTTTCTAGGAATATCATGCTATCAATTTCATGTATAGTTTCAGTTTAGGGGACAAACAGGGACACGATGACATTTGGAAGTTAAAAACAACAACACAACACTTTTTTTATGCACCACTTTTTCTTTATGCTGCAGATTTGTGCCAACTCCTGGGGTCCACAGTGGGGCGAGGACGGTTACTTCAGAATTGAGAGAGGCACAGACGAAAGTTCCATTGAGAGCGCCGTGATTGGCGTGTTGGGGACAGTGTCTGGAGACGAACAGCTGCGACTGATCCTGGAGGCAAACAAAAGAAAAAGGCAAATATAAGATAAGATAAGATAATGTGATTGGTCCAAACTAATGGAAATTCACTTTGACCACATCTGTCCACCTCATCATTACCACTAAAACAATAACAACACACACACAATAAAGAATAAGACCTACACATAGCCAACGCTTGACAGATTGAGTTCCTATGTTTCTTAGTGGCCACGTACAACACAATGAAAGTGAAGTCAAGGAGTTCTTACATTGTTCTGTTATAGTCTCCATGTGCTGTACTGTCTTTTTTTAAGAATGTTTGCATGACTTTTTAAATACTTATGCCCTTTATGAACTTGATTAGATCAGCTTCTAAGTAAGGGAACAATGCATACAAAATACTAGTCTGTATTTTTTGTTTCAAATGGCATTTCTACAGAGAGGCTGACATAGCGATAATCTTTAATCAGAACAAGTCACGAAGGCTGTCATCTGTATTATATTTACTAAAAAATATAAGCAAAACTTAGATAATATATCAAAAAACTGAAAGCAGCATTAAATTTTATAAACAACTCAGTTATCGGTACAGTACGCTATTTTTTTTTCTTAAAGCCAAATTTTTTTTTTTTTTTACTTTGAACAATTATAACGGTCAAACTAGAATTGTCCTTACGTCGCTAACGGGCTAGTAATTCTTTTTCTTAGCGATAAACAAGAACTGTTAAATTTACAGGAGAGATCCGTGTCCAGATACCACCCTCCACCTTTCAGGTTCCATTAAGTTCTGACTTGAATAGAGGTGTTGTAATAATCAGCTCACAAAGTCTTGAATCATTTTTTGTATTTAGAGAAATCACATCAAAGTTAGCAAGGATTGACTGGAAACTGAACTCTCTATTTTACTTTGGACAATTTTCAGGGCTGGCCGGGGAAGACGTTACCTAAGAAACTTGAAGAAACCTCTCCGAAACAAATCGGAAAAGTTCGGTAAATCTCGGAGCCGACGCCACAACATCAATAAGATAGAGAGTTACACTAACGACGACTTCACTACTGGAAAGAAATTCCATTTTTACAAACCAAAGAGTCGAAAAGCCAAGAGCAGGCCACGGAAGAAGGGAAAAAATCGCAAATTAATTCTCATTAATGAAAAGAAAAATTAGAAAAACTAAATGGCTTTTCTTTTTACTTTTTTAAGGTGCAATTTCATTTTAAACAAATATTATTGAATGTAATAAGTTTTAAAAATCTTTTATCAAATGTAATCATGGTGTGATAAAATGTATGTGTGTGACATGTAGATGTCATTCAACAACTATACAAGTTCATTGTAATCTGAAGAGCGCAAGTTTCTTTACATGGATGCCACTTCTCTGTTTATGCATAGAATGAAGTTGATATTATATGTAGCAATCCTTTTGTCTACATTCGTTCAATTCCTTAAAAAAACAACATTATAGAGATTTTCACATTTGCAGTGTTCAAAGAGACTCTCACATGAGTTCAAAGAGACTCTCACATGAGTTCAAAGAGACTCTCACATGAGTTCAAAGACTCTCACATGAGTTCAAAGACTCCCACATATGAACAAAGAGTCTCACGTCTGTTCAGAGACTCACTAGTGCTGGGTTCAGCAGGGGTGTCCTCTGTTTTTGTCTGTCATGAGCATTGAGCTGTGGTATGTTGTATATTTATTTGACATTATGTATACAATGACTGTTATGTAATATATTCACATAGAATTCTTTTACTGAAGGCATAACTTACATGCTATACAGAAATGTATTTATAAATATATCTGACATTGACATTTTTTGACAATCAAATATTTTGTTGGATATACTTTTTTTTTAAACGGCACTATGAGAAAAGACCTTTTGTACTTAGATTTACATTCTTACCTCCTTAAGCAAAGAAGTTACTTACGTCCTAAAACCTAAAGAGGTAAATACTTTGAAAAGTTAAGAATATGTGTATTGATCTTTTCATAAATAATCAAGTCTTAGGATCATTTTGTGAAGTATAACAGTCTACGGGCACGACATGGGACATGGCCTAAATTGTGACGATGTGCCTAAACTCAAAACTCAAAACTCTATAACAGTCTACACAGTCTTTACACAGTCTACACAGTCTTTACACAGTCTACACAGTCTTTACACAGTCTACACAGTCTATACACAGTCTACACAGTCTACACACCCTTTGTCAATCGAACTTTTGTAGCATTCATTATTTTGAATCGCATTCCATTTGTTGCATAGCAGTTGATTCAATTGATTGTGTCAACTCTTCAATTGCGAGCTGGTCTATGGTCACGTGTGTTCCTGTACATCCTGAGTCAGTCAACATGCAACTACATGTAATGACAGACAAAACATTAGAGCCAATTAGAAAGGAATCTCTGCACATGTTCATTGTTTTCTTAATCCCGTGAGAGATACAGAAGTTAGTTTCAGAAAATGATATGCTTTTATTATAATGGCATTTTCAAGTTTGTTGTATTTATGTTCTAAACTAACAATAGGTCTAGCATGAAAATAATTGTATCCCTTTAGAATAGGAATTTCAATCCCATACTAGGTCCATATTGTATGACCAGGGCTTTTTTGTGTGATGGTATGCACCAGTAAGGCGTACCTGCATCTTTTTTTAATTTGTGGAAAAAATGATAACTTTTCTTGTATTTTAATGTTTATTATTAATTTATTACTTGTTAAAAGTTAGGCAATCCATTATTAGAACCGGCACCTATTTTTTTTTTACAAAAATGCACTGTGTATGACTACATCTTAATTAACAAGGATTGATCAAAGTAGTTGTTTTTTGTTGATGTTATTAGATTGAACTTGTTTTAACATTTATATGAAATATTCTCGCGAGTGTTTTTGAAGAAATCAATGATTTACAGTGTCCTAGCTAGGAATTGGTCATCATTTGAGGGCCTGGGGCTGGCTTAACCTCTCTAGGGTCCCCTGCATTTTGACATCTCATGACATGAGATAATAGTATAATATTTAATATTTAATGTCAAAAAATGCGAACACTCATTTGGAGGCCCCTCGTAGGTGGGGGCCCGGGGGAGGATTGTCTAACTCTTACCTCATCCCTCACCATAGCTACGCCACTGATGATTTACTAGATCTACCACTAATACTACTACTAGTGTTAAGAAGCTGAACATATGTTTTAGATTTTGTAGCGTAATAATACGAGGGTTAATAAATGTGTAATTTTGGTCTAATTTCTTCCAAGAATCTACTCCTCACACTCGAAATTGTTTGATGCTGTCTCAAGTTTTACGCCAACATTCACGCATCGATTAGTGCCACTGTTACTGTAAACCCAACCTAACAATTTCATTGAGCCACACCTCAATATTATAATCCCATCAATGGCGTCTTTTGTTTAAACCAGTGATTCCCAAAGTGGTCTATATAGAACCCCCAGGGGTCTACGAAGACTTCCAAGGGGTCTACGAAAGTGAAAAAAGAAATTGGGGGTCTATGAGATGTCTATGGGGGTCTAGGATAAAAGATTTCATTTAACCAGGTCTTGACTTTAATTTTTACATCCCATTAATGTCATTATTTCATACACTAATATATGATTTGTACTTTTGTTAATCCTTTAAATAGTTACTATGCTATTCAAACAAAACAAAACGTGTGTATATAATTTCAATACTGATTGAAACAGCTTAATCTTGTCTACATGTAATTAATATTTAACAAAAAGAAATGTAGATCATACAGCGTTGATTATTTAAAATTGGGATTCATTCCTTCCTTGTCAAACAAGCGATCGCCAAGTGCCTTTCTTATGACAAAGTGAAACCAAAGCCACCCTGACATAATAGATACAGATTTGAAAAACTTTTGAACACTCAAAGATAAAGTTCAGAATAGACCCACAAAATCTTTCTTCGACATCATATAGATAAAATTATGGTTCATGAGCGTCTTACATTATCTATTTATAACAAAATACGGAAAGCATTGATTGTACCAGCCGTTGTAGTTTTAAAAACTGTTTTACACAAACCTACATCTGATATTAATAAAAGAATTTCTTTAAGCAACACTACAGTTCAAAGACACATCGGTTGTGTGAGTTATAAAATTAAAAGCTTCTTAGGTAATTCTTTGCAAACGAGTTTGGGATCAGAGGCGTCGTAGACTCTGAAAGGGTGTAGCGCTATGTGATACAAACTGCCAAAGGGTCGCCGGCTCCTTATTTTCCCTCAGGTTTGGCTTTATGTTGCTCGGCAGCAGAGTTTTGAATTCAGTTTTCCTTCTGTTAGGTAGGTAACAAGCCAGGGGTAATGAGACCTACCTGCTCGAAGCTTACTGGTTTAGGTCGCAGTTACTCGACTTCGCCAATTCTATTAGTGAAAACAGTTCCGCTGACACAATATTTGAGCCTAACTGCACTTTACGAAAATTTTACAATTAATTAATTGATCAATATTTAATGTTTGAATAACTACTTCACTGAACAACTAATTCCTATATGAAACATAATATCCGTAAAAACAGATGATAAATCCGAAAAAAAAACAAAAAAACATTCCTAGTATATTTGGTGATTCCAGCAATACACATTGTTATTTTAATTGGTTTAAATTTGAATTTTATCAATACAAAAATTTGAATTGTATCACTAAAAAGTTACATTTTTACTCTTTAACTCACTACAGTTAGAAATTAGTTTAAAAAAAATATTAATGAATTTTTAAAAATTTGCAAGTTAAGCAGGAGATCTACCGAAAGGCAAAAAAACATGGCAAGGGGTCTACGATACAAAAAAGTTTGGGAACCACTGGTTTAAACAAACGTATTTCTAGGAACACTTTAACACACCAGAGACCGGGATGGTCAGGAGCTCTGTATACCGAGGGCTTTCCCCAGTTAAAGAAACCCTGTCCCGGTGACCCGGTGAACTCATTTAGTTTAGACAATTCAAACCCATTAATTAACTGGGGACCATCAACTCAACGGTCTGTCTGATACATTTACAAAACAGACCTATATAAATATCCTAACTTGCCACGTTTTATGATCCCTAGCGATTTTTGCTACAGATTTAGACAAGAACATAAGAGTGAATGTTGATAGTCTTCATTAAAGTTTGTTTTTTTCATAATTTTAGTTTTTCCATAAATAAAAAATTGCAAAGATCACATTCTTAAATGACCGAGGCCACAGACATATTTGGTATTGTCATTGTTTTACCATTTTCATATCAATAACGTTTGTTCCTTGGGTTGAGATTTAAATTTTATTTGAGCAATATGGGCGATGTATGTCACGTGTACACTCAAACCTTCATTGACATGTAGACGTAGATGTATAGTTCAACGTATATCTGGTTTCAATACATATTTCATACAATTATTTCCCTTTTTCTTTATTTATTTTTTAATATTATCTCCCTTCGTATGCTTACCTGTTTGTATTTCTCTCTAAATTTAATAAAGAAACCACGAAGAGAATCTTATAATATTCTTAAAGTGTAGAAGTAGAATTTTTTTTTGTATTCTTTAGTTTTTATAAAGTTAGAAATAAATTTGAAAACAAAAACGAAACAAGCGTGTAAGTCTCATTAGTTTTTATTTTATTTCTCTATTTTGCTTCTGATAATTTTTTTTTTTGAAACTGCTAAAAATATTGTTGGTCAATATCAATAACATAAAATTCACACATATGACATAAACTCATTGAACCTTGACTGGCGGCATTTCAGATTTTGTCTGGTTTATTCCAGGCCAAAAACTCTCGCTCATAAGCCACCCGCAGTGGAGTGTCAAGCAAGTCCATTCTTTTAAAAAGTCTGAAATCTTTTCTTTTGGTTCCGCTTTCTTTATGTCCTCCTTTAAGTTACTCTTCAAAATATTGGAGACAAGTATTGACTCAAAGTGTAGTCAAAATGAATCAGAACTCCCCACAGCAGATGTCGCTTTAAAGCAGGGGTTCTCAACCTGTGGGTCTCGACCCCTTGGGGGGGTCGATTGACGATTTTTCAGGGGTCGCCTAAGACCATCGATAAATGGATTGTTTTTAGCCAATTCTTCTATTGCTGTGCAAATGTGGGTGGGTGGGGGGTCGCGGAAGAGTGGGGGGGGGGGGGGGGGGGGGTTGTAAAAAGGGGTCGCCGAGCTTTAAAGGTTGAGAACCTCTGCTCTAAAGTATCCTTTTGAAATTTTGCCTCTATTGAATGAATACTCCTTCGTCCCTATTGTACAATAAAACTCCAATACAGCAAAAGAAAAATGAAAAGAAACTAAAGGGGCTGGCTTGGACAGACAATGCCGAGAACAGCAGACAACAAGGCAGGCTCTGGACTGAGGCCTACAAGGGAAGATAAATGTTGGAAGTCCAAACAAACGAAGATGGCAGGATGGACATGGACACAGCTGAGGGCAATGAACCAGAACGGAGTCCTATGGCGAACTTCGCGAAGTACTGTTGCGGTTCTATGCTCCACTAGAGGCTAAAAGGGTTAAGTCAAGTAAGTCATAACAATAAAACAATAGTAGAAAGAACTTTCAGATTAATGGACTAAATGAGAATACTTGACTAAGCTACATATACAGGAAACAATTGACTAAGCTACATATACAGGAAACGATTGACTATGCTACATATACAGGAAAACAATGTGGAGAGTAATTGCAAAAAAAAAAACAAAAACAAAAAAACAAGATTACAAAGAGAGTTTGTGTTGCCACACAAACTCAGAGACGGCCCCCGTGGGAGAGGGATCACTGTCGGATCCGCTTATTCGCTGGTCGACTGAGGATGGCATCGAGCAGGGTATGAAACCGAGACCGTAGAGATAATCAGTTCTGCGCGCTAACCGCACGACCAGGCATTGCTCTCAATCTAATGACAAACTAATACCTACTATTGATAATATACTTACACATTACGGAATGACAACTACCGGATAGGTACAATATGTCAGAAGAGCGATTTTAGATAATCTTTTGGTATTGAGCATTTTAGGCCTAAATGGAACTAGAATGAGGATGTAGATCTACCAAAATTAAACTAATAATTTAGCACTCTCAATATCTATATCTACTAGATCTAGATCTAAAATATATATTTGGGATAATGTAGA